TGGGTGCTTTTTATTTCACTTCTTTTGGACTGATGCATGCAACACCCGCTGAGTGGCATTAAACAGCTTGAAAGATCAAAGATAATTTTTAATATAACTCTGACTGGATTCGTCTGAAAGAAGAAAGTCATATACACCTAGGATGCCTCGGGGGTGAGTAATTTATGGACTAATTTTCATTTTTGGGTGAACTAACCCTTTCCATCCCTACACAGCACACAAGTTTTTCACGCTTTTAAAAAAAGACAACCCTTAGAAATCTTCTTCCACAAACAGGACAGACGCAAGGCTTTTAATTTGCATGCATTTTTTTTTTCAGTATTTATCCATAGTGAGAGCAGCTGAAAGGCCTTTTCCCAGCATGAATTAACATGTGCTTCTTCAGAATTCCTTTACATATGAAACTCTTTCCACACTGAGAGCAGGAAAAAGGCTTTATTCCAGCATGACCTAACATGTGAGTCTTAAGGTATCCTTTACGTGTGAAAGACTTTCCACACTGAGAGCAGATGAAAGGCTTTTCTGAAGTGTGAGTTACCAAATGATCCATAAGGTGTCCTTTCTGTGTAAAACTCTTTCCACACTGAGAGCAGCTGAAAGGCTTTATCCCAGCATGAATTAACATGTGCTTCTTAAGGGTTGTTTTACGCGTGAAAGTGTTTCCACACTGAGAGCAGCTGAAAGGCTTTTCTGAAGTGTGAGCTAGCAGATGATCCTTGAGTTGCCTTCTCTGTGTGAAACTCTTTCCACACTGAGAGCAGGTAAAAGGCTTTATTCCAGCATGAATTAGCATGTGATTCTTAAGGTTTTCGTTACATGTGAAAGTGTTTCCGCACTGAAAACAGCTGAAAGGCTTTTCCCCACTATGAATTTTCATGTGTTTCTTAAGGCTTCCTTTCTGTTTGAATGCGTTTCCACACTGAGAGCAGCTGAAAGGCCTTTTGACTTCTGTTATTTGAATGCTGCAACTCACTGATTTTTCTCCAGTGACATCAGGATCTTTCTGACACTGATATTTCTCCTCCTCCTCATTTAGATCTTGTCTTTCTTCTTTCACTTTCATCAGGCCTAAAATGAAATCATTAAAAAGATGAAAATCAATTGGAACATTTAGAAAATAAAAGGATAAAATATCTGTGTACAAATACGTTGTCAAAACTGTCCCTGTTCACAAAACACTGTATTTTGCTGCCAGGCCAGTAGTTGGCAATGTCAAATGTATTCTAACTCGTGGGCGTCCGAGGCAACAAAAATGTGGGTGGGTCCAACATAGTCTAAGTGTAACTGTTATTCAATGCTGAAACAAAGACTATATGATGCCTTTAAAAGCAACAGGCCATCAAATGATGAACATTCAGTTAAATAGCAGCTTGTTTAGTGACAGTATGTGAGCACACAGCCAGACCCACCTGAGCAGCAGATATGCTACGATGCTTTGTTTATCTTGCTCTATCTCACGGGAGTGCAGCAGGCGTGAGAACTGAAAACACGGGATGGAGTTTAATTTATATGGACTCTGAATGAGCCGAGTGGAATGGATTTGAGGAAGCAGCAGCGTGGAAGTCAAGGCTGTAGCTAAAATGCGGAATGGAGTTTAATTTATTAGGGCATTGCTCAAGTGGAATGGATTTGATCCAATATAATTTTGGTCCAATATCATTGGTCTTAAAAAGTGTATGGGTCTTGTCCCACCCACATACAAGTGTTCCGACGCCCATGTTCTAACTAGTTGGTTAAAAATATTTGGACTTTACCTCAAGTTAGCATCAGGTAGCTAGTTAGAATCAGGGTAAAAACAAAAGCTATGACTGCTGCGTATTTACACTTAAATTGATACTGGTCATAGTGCAAAATGCTTTGGCTCTGCGCTGTCCAGTGTGTCGCGTGCACTGATCGATATAATTCTCTATTACAGATCAGTGGTCACGCGGCTTTGACACACAGACTTTGATATGTCAGCTCAATAAAACAGGCAATGTGCCAAAGATGTAGGCTAAGGGGTAGCTGTAGGTGCAGATGCAAAGTAAAGTAATATTTAGGCTATGAGATAAACTGGCCTAATATTTCTCGTGCAGGTTGCCGAATTTATGCCTACACAGAAGTAAGCCCTGTGTAGGCTCTGCCCCGGTACGGGCTATTCGTTAGCCATTCATTAGTTTGGTTGTTTGATGAGAAAGCGATGAAGTATAATTGCAATAAATGCCTTAATAATCCACACAGCTGTAGCAGCAGAGGACTGTTATTCTGTAGTGCTGAACTGCGGAGGAACTGATGACGGCACGATTTAAAGTTTGGTTGACCAATTAGCAGAGAGAGGCATTTCATTCCCTCCCACATGCAGAGATAAAATATTCAAGCCATTTATTCATTTTCTAGCCCTGAACGTAAAAGCGAAAAGAAAAAAAAAGCATAAAATTATGTCTTTTTTCGTTTTTTTTAAAAGGAACCGTTTTCGTATTTTTCAGTTTTTAATATTAAATTTAAAAATGAATGGACGGAAGATACCCTGGGGTGCGTTTCCCAAAAGCAACTATGGTCACAGGTTCTGTCATTACCAATAGAGTTCAGTGGAACTTGCCACCATAGTTAGCTAACGATGCTTTTTCGGAAACGCACCGCTGATTAGTTAGCTAGCCAGTTAGCATCAGCTAATAATATTTTTCAAAAAGGCTATTATAATTTTGTAATTCATGATTATCGATTATATTCTTTTTAATTTTAAGCTAAAACTGCCTGTACTCTGATTTTGCTGTAAATGTATAAAGCAAATTGCTTTGTCAGACTGGGGGCCTTTTACACCACCTGTAGACTTGTGCCGGTATTCGGTAATGCGATATATTACGGTAATGAATATGCACGATATTGTTATCGTGGGCACTTCTAAATACCGTGAATAATTATATATTACAAATTATTCAGAATTTTGAATGCATTGTAAGAATACTTTTCCCATCAACTGGTCAAAATGCACAACACCGCTGTATGCTGCGTGAAAGAGCGTGCGCACTCTGATGTAAACAAGCGCGGACGAGAAGCACATGGCGGAACATGTGAGAGATGCTCTGGATGAAAGCGCACTTTCACTCTCTGACAGCAGATGGCGCTAAACTGCAGAAATAATAATAATAATAATAATCATTAACTAAGGTTAACTAATGAGGTCTGATTGTAAAGTGATACCTATTGGTCTTTATAGTTCTTTTGCACTTTAATTAGGGCTGGGTATCGATTCAGATGTCCCGATTCCATTTCGATTCGCAAGCTCTCGATTCGATTCGATTCTCGATTTTTTTATTACATTCAGTGAATATAGTTTTAATACAAATAATTAAACCCTTTTATTTTTTGGCAAACAAAATGCTGCACAAAAGAGGTTTACTGTTAAAATTAAAAAGAAAACAGATGTGAATATTTGTCCGCCATTCATTCACTGCGGAAATCATGTCGCCTTATGCGTGATATCAAACGCTTCCGCAGATTTATAGTATTACTATAGCATTTCACCTGAGCATTGCGAATCACGCGTATGGCCATGATAAGTGCTGAATGAAAGATAGGCTTTCTGTTGTAACATCGCGCAAGGTAAATAAGGGTGACATCTAGCGGAGAAGACTAATGATAAGATTCACGTTAATCAGATCTTGTTTTAAATGTGTGCTGAAATAAATACTGGAAAAGATCG